CTAGACTGCCGAATCAATGTTTAAGGAGTTGACGGTCTTGGGAAACTAATGAGACTTACTTTCAGAAATGATTTTAAATGCTAACATTCCACTTTTTAAAAATGACCTGTGCGGCTCTATCTCTAAGACAGGATAAAGCTCTAGTTCTGAGTCCCTATATGTCAAGGACTATAATATAAATTCTGGCTCATCTTGGAAGATAGGAATAAGAACATTTTTGTGGGTATTTTTAATTAAACACAATTAAACATAATAAACCACTTTACAGTTATGGGTATAACAAATTTAAATGAGAGGCACTGGGGGTTACAGGGACAAGGACAACAAGATTTGAGCAGAAGTTGGTGGTGTAAAATTACTACAGTTGCTTCAAAATCTATTTACACAGAATTAACCCATATAGTCAATTCTCAATTATGTAGGTCTGGCTATTCAAGCCCTTTATTTCTGTTTTTCTCTTCCACTTAACTGCTTGTTAACTCATTTTCTATTGAAGAAAATCAATTTAAGATTTTATGATTTACTATAAACCCCGATAAATTAAAAAATGCCCCAACCATACTCCACATGCCGTATCTCAGGGAGTTCACTAAAACAAGCACTGTCAAGGACACCGCAAGGTACACCAGGAATCTCTGAATCTTCAGACAAGAATCCTTAAATAAAAGCTTCCTTGTACTGACAATACAGGCCTGGAACTGTTCACCTTTCTTTAGTTTTGAAAGGGTATCAGAAATTAAAATGCTACTGGCTTGTATGCTGATTCTGAGGAAAACATGTTATGCAACAAGTATAACATAGCTCAGAAGGGAGATTTTTTATTTTAGGAGTCACCTGGTTACAAAAACAAAACAAACTATGAGCAATGGAATCTACTCAATTTTCTCTTTTATTGTTTGGACCTGAGATCTAGTCATCATTCACTAATGGACTGAACAATAAAAACAGAGTACATAATTCACTCAGATTCTTCACTGGATGTCCCAACTGACAGCATTAGAATATACAGCATCTGGAAAGTGAGTCTATAAATCCCCACTTAGGCAGTCAATAACATGTCAATTCAGACATTTTTATAAAAATATGAATTATAAATCTGTTAAAATGAGCTAGAACTAATGAAAGATACTGTGGGAAAAAAATTAAAACTAGACAGGTAAGGGGGTACATACGGACTCCAAACTCTTTGTTCAATTTTTTTAAATAAATCTAAAACTATTCAAAAACAAAGTCTATATATTTTTAAAAAACAGAATGGAAAACAGAAATTAGGAACACAGAACAACATAGTAAAATTGGGAACTATAATCTCTTGTTTAACTCTATTTGCCCACATGAAGCTGCATCAACCAGTCTAGCATGGGGGGATCTAATACCCTTTGTTCTTTTTTCCCCATCCTACCTGAAGTCATTTTCTGTGTCACTTATCAGGTAATGAAATACAGTTTTAAAACATCTGTTATAAGGTTGTTTTATACTAATTACCCTGCAGATTGCCGTGTGACTAGTCACAAAGTTACATACTCTCTCCAAATAAAACACAAACAACTTCTGAGCAAAGGAAGGCATGCAGCATAGTGCCTTTAACACAGCAGTGATAACAACATGTATCTAGGTATTTGGGATTTATAGTTTATCAAACTCTAAGTGTTCAATATTTGCCAGCTAACTGAAAGGTGATGGGCTACCAACTATTTATGAGGCCTCTAGGTTTGGATATGAAGGGCTTTCCTCTCTTTGTATGTCATATAATTTCCTTTTAGTGACTGGAGTATAAATTTTTCCTTTCAATTTTGGGTTTTCCACTTAACGTGGACAGCAATTTTACAAAAGACTATAGGGAGACAAGCGTATAAAAACATAAGTTAGCACACACAGAGAAGGAAGATGAGTGGGAAAAGATGGTATTCCTTTTACTCTTTCCCATTATGGTCTACGTAGTATTATGGAATATGCTTGTATAATATTAGTGGCCTTTTGTAACCAAAGGAAGGACTCAAATTCTTAAAAGTTTAGGAAATTCCTAAATATTTACCCCTATCTAAAAATTCAAATCAGGGCCAGAAATGACAATGAAGGTGACACATGCTGGTATCTATCAACATGAGTGTTATGTTGCTGGCATCCCACTAATCCTCCTACCAATAGATTTGCTGATCAGTACAGATGGCAGTAGTGGCTATGAAAGTTTTTTCTAGTGAACAATAACTCTTGTGTTCCTCTACCAATAATTCAGAGGACTAAAAAACGTCATGCCAATATCGTCTCCTTTATCAATTACCAACTTACGTTTCTAGGCATTCTATACCATGGCTTTAGGACACTAAGTGTGCTTTTCAGAGACTCATCAAGAGATGCAGTTCTGGGAGCTCAATAATGGCCTACTTATACTCTAACCCCCTGAGGCAGTTTTGGAGGTTCAAATGTCACAGGAAATTGCTTCACAAGCCAATGGCTGTCACACCTTGCTCTATGGCATACCTGACTATTAGAAGTATTAGACATACCTCCATATGTCTAGCGGTTATCAATCAACAAACAGGCCAGCTGGGAAAATAGCCAAAAACCTTCCACTGGAAAGTTTTCAAGGTAGGCAGGTACTCACTCTAGTTTAGCACTTAATAAAGTATGTTTGGAGCAATAAAAATAATACACCAAAAGTCATCAAAGGGCTATGAATGTTACTGGATTTGTGACATCATCTTTTAATAACATCATTATTTCGTTTTCTAAAACCCAAAGCAGAAGAACCCAGTTTTGGAGATGGATCTGCTACTTGCATTCTCCATCCACTTCCCTCCTTCCTGCTCTCATATATGCTCATTCCTCAAAACAGACCCTAGTTTCTTCCAAGTACCTCCAAAGATAATCCAAACACAATTTTGGATAATCCAGGCACTGTCTATCTTCAGCTTAAAATACTATATTCTCTGTTTTCCTCTCAATCCCAGCTTTAGGTCACCCCAACGTCCTCTTTATGTTACTACTATGCTCCTCAAAATACTGAGTTGTTGCCTAAATTCTTTTACGTCTACTCTAAACACTGGAAAGACCTGAAAAACTGAGTTGTACACCTGAACTCCCCCTCTTCCAATACACAAGTCATAACCACAAGCCATCTCACCAAATCCAAGTTCAAGCTCCTGATGTTTGAAAGCCCCTGGAGCCACCCTACAAACACAGAGCTCCCAACTCTGCCCTATCAACTCCATCCACTGGATAAATATTTACTGGAGTACTACACCACATGTAAAAGGCCACGAGAGCCATGCTCTTCCTTCGGCGGAAGCTGTTCATCTCTCCTACATGTTCATATGCTTTCTATTCCCCATGCAGTCCTTTCACCAACTCATGTGAACACTCTTTCTTTTCTCAGACTAAAGCCTCCTCTCAATAACATCTCTATATTCACCTAACTTCCCGCCTCATTATCATTTCTTAACCTGATTTGGATCTCAAATATCCACTGAACAGTATTTTTCTAATTATGGGCTGACAGTCACTGACAGTGGTCTGTAGTTCCCCACTCACATTCTGACATAGATTTAAGTGTGTGTATTACCTTTGAGCAGTGATTCTCAAGCTTTATACGCATCAGAATCACCTGAAAAAGTTGTAAACAGACGGTTTGCTGGGCTAAAGGATTTGCATTTCTAAAAAGTTCCCAGGTGACACTCGTGCTGCTGGTCTAGGGACCATACTTTGGAAATCGCTGCCTTTGAGAGTCCGATGAAAGGTATGAAAAAATGCACAATATGTACATAACTTTGCATGTGATTTCAAGGGCGCATGATGGATGCTCATTCAAAGATATTCTCTTCTCTATATTCTGTTCTAAGGAACGTTTAAGATATAGTGTTTCCTGACCTGACAGGATGTGCTCGTTTGTGGTACAGGGAAATTCGGTCTGCGCAAACACTTCCCGAGAACGAGGTGGGATTTCCTGGTGTATTGGAAAGTCAGTTCTGTCCAATGGACTGTCCTTTTCAGTCTCATGTGTCTTTTTCACAGTCATGTGATAATTTTTCTATACTTCTAGCTTAATTCTCAGAAACAAAAGATTCATCACTTAGTATTCAAAAGGATCTTTGGAATGCCTCAAAAGAAACCCTTTAGGTGAGGAAACGGTCTCGTACAAAGAACATGAACATTGGCTTAAGACAGAACTAGATTGAAATCTTGCCTTTCCTAAAGGTGTGACCACTAAGCTTCAACTTCTTCATTTATAAAACTGGTGCTCTTCTAGAAAAACAATTTTGTTCCCTTTTAGGCAAAGTTTATGTGAACCCACTACAGGGAATGAAAGAGGGAGTGGTTCTACTACCTAAAACCAATGATTCTTATTTATGGTAAGGAATTTAAACGTTGGATACAGAGTAAACGTTTCAATTAAGAAAACAAGAAGACTGAACTGCGTAATTTCTAATATGCCTCAAATCTAACATTTATTTATGAATTCTAACTGGCCAGCATATCATTCACTTTTATTTTCTATTTATGCTAAATAGTAATTTATTCTTCAATTTAACCCAGTATAAACACCTTAAAAAACAATGATACTTTCTTGTATTTACCCTTCCTTTCTTTACTTCCCTTCCCTCTATAGTGTCTAACATTCCAATATCCACTAGAAAATGAAATATAAATAACAATCGTAATAAATTATTCTCCTTCCCTTAAATAGGCCCATGTAAAAGATACCTTGTCAACACAGAAAAACCTTTTTGAAGTTTTCCTTCGTATTTCCTCAACTGATAGCCAAAATCCATTAAATTCATCTTTATTCAATATGATCTCTCAGGACTTGGCTATTATAGATATAGCTCAATTGTGTATGTTTTATTTTTTAAAGATCTGTCATATATTATTTTCTCAATGTACAAGCCTATTAGTTTATTGCTGGATACTCTTAAGTATCAGTGAATGTGCATCAATGTCTATCAAAATTACCACTGATCTGTAAATTATCTTAAGCATCAAGTAATTTCAATTAAACATACCTCTTGTAGAAGACGTGGATCCAGGCAGTCACCATCATCATTAAACATAGACTCCCAGCTCTCCTCAGTCGCAGTACTTCCCTCTGTGTGAGAAGTTTCGGTTGCTTTTGGTTCGATGGATGTTTCCATAGATAATGATTCCCTATTAGGAGTAGATATACCAAATTCTATATCCTCTGAGTCATCTTGCTCTTTTGTTTTGAACTCTTCAGCAGTTCTTACTTCATGCAATGCTTCTGTTGTATCACCAGTACTACTCAGATCACTGCCCATGGTACTGTCGGAAAGTACTTTTGTCCCATTTAACATACTGAGTTCAGAGTCCAAAAAAGTTTCATAATCACTAACAGCAATCTTTTTTATAGGTAAGGAGGAAGCACAATCTGACAAGCTCTCTATCAACTTTCCTGTTGACTCTGTAAAACGAGATGAAATACTCTCAGCATAAATATCTGAGCAAGCAGTCAGGTTGCTGAAATTTTCAGTATCATTCCCACTTCTAGCTACATGAAGAGGGGTTGCATCTGCACTCATTCCTATAAACTTTGAGAAATTATGTTTATTATTGGAGGTCTCATCAGCTATTCTAACTGCAACTACATAAGGGATGTCAACAGTTACATGATCACTACAGGACATACCTGTAGGGTCCATCATACATGCTTTATTGGTAATGTCAGCTACATTCTTAAACCCATTGTCCCTACGTGTTTCATGAGCAAGGACAACTGTATCAGGAGGTTCATGCTTCACATGTAACTCATCAGCAGTGCTGTCATTCTTCTCACATTCTCTAATCATTACTGGACTAACAGTGTCATTTGTGCTCTCTAATTTGCTGACTGTAGTCATTTTATGAGAGACGTGACCCACAGTTTCAGAAATGGAATCTGTATCTTTCTGATCTAAGATGAAACCTGTACTACTGGCTATACCACCTACATTCTTAGCTTCAAAATCTATGCAAGTTTGATCAAAGACACCATCTGGACTTCCAGGAACAGAAGTAGTGGTGATGCCTCCACTGCTGGGCTTCAATATTCCATCTGATGTTTGCATGCCTTGTTGTACAATTCCAGAATCAGCACTTAGTTTAGTTGGTGCAATCATATTCTCAGGTTTCATTACAGAACTAAAAACTCTAGGAAACTCAGACAGTATCTCTAACACCTTGGCATCGGTTTCAATTCTGCTTTCCAAATCTTTGTCTTCAAATGTTTCTCCATCAGGTTCATGCCTATCGAAGTCATGGAATTCCACATTTTGGAATGGTTTGCTTGGAAACTGAGCCTCACTGATTTCTGAACAGGCCTGTGATAGAAGTATACTCCCATGCCCTGTCACATCTGTAGTTTCAACTTCCAAACACTCCCCCTTCTTTGGTTTAAAATGTCTCTGTAAAGATGCATTAGGTATAGCCCCAGCATTTCGGGCTCCCTGCTGATGTCCTTGGGATAATACTTCTTTGGATTCAGTGGTTCCTCTCTTAGAACAAATGCTATTTGTTTTTCGAAGGCAGGTATCCTTTCTTAATTTTGTTGAAGATTTCTTTCCTTCTCTACAGGTATGTTCCTTTCTGTCAGGATTGACACTTACTCTTGGAGCCTCTGGTTTGTCTCTAAAGACTTCTTTTTGGGAGAGAGAACTTTCTTTTTGCTTTCCTTTCACCACAGAGTTAGGTGAACCACAGCTTTCTTCTTCATCACCTGTCTTAAGGAGTACTGCACCCCTTCGAGCTTTTGGTACATAAAGTGCCATGTCAGGCCTTCTGGCTCGAACTCTGCACCTCTCTGCTTCTTGCTGCATGGCACCACCACAATCTGCAAGAGAATGATTTATTTATCAGACACTAATTACAATGTATTGAGACAAAATATTTCCTTTTTCATTTTTGAGACAGAGTCTCACTCTGTCACCCAGGCTGGAGTGCTGTGGCCCCATCTCAGCTCACTATGACCTCTGCCCTCTGAGGCTCAAGTGATCCCTCCACCTTTGCCTCCTGGGTAGCTGCGATCACAGACACACGCCATTATGCCTGGCTCTGTTTTTTTGTTTCGGGTTTTTTAAAATTTCTGGTAGAGACAGAGTTTCACCCTGTTGCCCAGGCTGGTCTCAAGCCCAGACTGAGCTGAAGGCAATCTACCCTCCTCAGCCTCCCAAAGTGCTGGGAGCATGAGCCACTGTGCCGTTTTTTTTATTTTATTTTATTTTTTATTGTCCAACATAAATATATACACACATAAAATGATTTTAAGAGTAACTAGACTGTTGTCTAAAAAACGAAATGACTTTTCAGAGAATGCTTTCTAGAAGACGTTGCTTTTGATCTAAGATTTTTTAGAAAAGAGAAAGTAGTGAAAAAGAGAAAAGTATTATTCTATTAATACCATTTAGTCAAGTGACTTGCCATGAATTTTCCTTGCTTCCAGCAGTAATAAAACAGAACTGGGTAGGATGAAGAAGGGTAGAAGACCAAGGAAATTGTGACGAGACAATTCACTCTAGTTACTTCCTGACAACCTCCATCATGGTTGCTCAATGGAATTTAACAAGAAGAAATTTAACAAAAGTTAAACGAACCTTTATCTCCTATCTACTAAATATAAGAAAATGTGCTAGGGAATTTCATATTATTTATTATTATTATTATTTTTTTTTGGAGACAGAGTTTCACTCTTGTTGCCCAGGCTGGAGTGCAATGGCACGATCTTGGCTCACTGCAACCTCCACCTCCCGGGTTCAAGTGATTCTACTGCTTCAGCCTCCCGAGTAGCTGGGATTACAGGCATGTGCTACCACGCCTGGCTAATTTTGTATTTTTAGTACAGACAAAGTTTCTCCATGTTGGTGAGGCTGGTCTTGAACTCCCAACATCAGGTGAGCCGCCCGTCTCAGCCTCCCAAAGTGCTGGGATTACAGGAGTGGGCCACCATGCCCAGCCCAAGTTATTCTTTTAATTTTCAAAATAATTCAATGAAATAGGGATACCTTTCTCCAGGGCAAAGAGAATAAGGAGGTTCTATACACAACAGAGAAACACCCACATACATGCAGATGCACCCACTGTTAATATTTCACAACATACATTTCAAAAGAAGACGATAATGAGAAAGCAGAGAGGAAAAAGGCTAACGAATCCTGTCCACTCCATTCCAGATCCCTAAAATTTCACCTGGTCCAGAATACTTCCTCAGTGAAAAAGCTCTATTTTCATGGCACAGGTTATTTTCCTTTCAGTCCAAGTAACACCGTGGCCTTGATCATCAAATATCTCCAGGGATGATTTTCTTCCTTTTCTCTTTTTATATCTTAGTTAATATCTAGTCCAATGTTCTTCATGTATTTTATGTCTACCATTTGTGGAATAATATGACCTTAACATTTAGTCATGCCAGGATTTTTCAAAAAATACCTAATTTTCAAAGACAGAGGTACTAAATTGTGTTTCATAGGAACGGATACCAGAGACACAGTACATCTTGATTACAGTAAGTAAAACATCTGACAAAATATATCATAATGAACTTCTGGATATAAAATGATGAAATGCGGATTACTTAGCAGAACTGATAAATGGACTCACAAAAGATTAAACAACAAAAAATAATAATATTGGGTGGAGATGAATTTAGAGATTATTTAAAGGAGGATTATATAGGCTTTTGAAATTCAACATTTTATACACTAATTTAGATGTAAACAATAAATAGAGTGCTTATCAAAACTGCAACTGACACAAAACTGATGGAATACCAAAAATTATAAAATTAAAATTCAAAATCATTTCTATAATCTGAAATGCTGTGCTGAAAGCAATATGAAAGTATAAAACAGTAAATATAAGGATGTTTTGGAGTTTTTTTTTTTTTAAAGAATCAAACAAAAGGCAGAAGACATGACTTCTGTACAATTTGCACAAAGAAAAATCTAAAGGCTATTATTTCGTTCACAAGGTCAATAAAAGCCCCAAAATCGTGACGTGATGTTTAAAAAAGCAACACACTCTTAGATTACAGAGTCTAGAAAATACATCACACAATGTAGAGCTAAAAGAACTAAAGGTATAACTCTTGCCCAAAGAGTTCTAAATGAAAAATCATGGCTACCTTTATACCTGAAAGATTGGTTGCTCTATAAAAGTGATAAAATTTCTTGCTTATGTTTCTATGTTTCTCCAGAAGTCAGTACTAGAATCAGTTGTCAGAAATTAAAGGAAAACAAAATTTAGCTAAATATAAGAAAGAACTCTACTTCTAGAGTTCTCCAATGTTATTATCAGGAAATGTGCTCTGTCTCTAGAAAAATTTAGATAAAGGCTGGATGACTGACATATACTAGAGAAACTCTAAATTCTATGATTCTATTTCTAATCTGCAACACACCTATCAAAGGCTTCAAATTATCTACTTTAAAATTATCATGTGCCAAAGTTAATGACTTTTAAAATTCAACCTTTTTTCTTAATGCTCACATAATAGTCATAATACTACTTCCTAAAGGGGAAAATCAGCATAATACATTTATATTATCTATTTCCTACCAAAGCAGTGATTTTGACTGTGCCATGACCAGCAGCAGTGTGCTGGCTAATATTCAGCAACCAGCTTTCCAAGTGTACTTCAGAGTATTACTTGATGTTTTTCTTTATGTCATTGATGTCAATGATGTGAGTGACTTCATAGTTGAATAATTTTTTAATAATGGAAGAATATGTACTTTTTTGTTACAATAGCTAAAGACATGATACATTTCATTAGCAGCATTTTCTCCATCACTTTAAGTCTAGACAATCAAGAAATAATAAATCAAACCCTATTTATGGCATTTGGCAATCTCTGTAAATTTTTTTGCCATAGCTAATTTCTAGTTATCACTGTGACATCACCAAAGTTGGTAAAAAGTGTACAAAAAGCGCACACCATTATAGTATTTCAACCAGAGGTACGATACACATAAATAACTTCAAAAGCACAGATCATAATAAAATGTAGTAAAATAATTAGCAACTGATGAGTGTGAAGTATTTATTAGCTTTGTAAAACTGTAATTTTAACAGTAAGCCTATGTACCTTAATTTTTAATAATAGCTGTGTTTAATAATCAGTTTGCAGAATTCCAAAAATTTTGACAGTCAGCTCTCAGGCCCATAGCAGACACTCCAATCCACCACTATGCCCATTCTTTCATAACTCACAGGCACGTCTCCATCTTATGGACTGTCACGATACCGTAGTCCCCGCTCTTATCTGCAGGGGATATGTACCAAGATCCCCAATGGATGCCTGGACCGTGGATAGTACCAAACTCCATATATACTGTCTTTTGCTACACATACATACCTATGATAAATTTTAATTTATAAATTAAGCAGAGAAAGAGATGAACAATAATTAATTAAATAAAACAAGTATAACAATATATAATATTGTTACATAAAATATATAAATTTACATATATATTTTATATAAAAATATGTGAGTGTGGTCTCTCAAAGTATTTTATAGTATGTAATATTTTCATACCATGGATGATCACAGGAACTGAAACCACGGAAAGCAAAACCGTGGAAAAAAGGAGAACACTACATTGCCAATCTAATTTAAAGCCTTGTTGCATTTTTATGAATTTCTTTTGCAACTATCGGCATGGAAGGCTTTTCACATTGGGAGTGGGGCTGCCTGCCATACACAATTTTTTTAAATGTGCCTTGGATTAAAATTTTCCCACCCTGCTATTTACTAATAGCACTTGATATTTTCTCTCTCTTTTTTTCTTTTTGAGACAGAGTTTTGCTCTTGTTGCCCAGTCTGGAGTGCAATGGTGGGATCTCAGCTAACCACAACCTCCACCTCCTGGGTTCAAGTGAATTCTCCTGCCTCAGCCTCCTGAGTAGCTGGGATAACAGGCATGCACTACCATGTCCAACTAATTTTGTATTTTTAGTAGTGATGGGGTTTCTCCATGTTGGTCAGACTGGTCTCGAACTCCCGATGTCAGGTGATCCACCCACTTGGCCTCCCAAAGTGCTAGGATTACAGGTGTGAGCCACCGTGCCCAGTTGATATTTTCTCTTTATTAACAGTTTTAACTTTTCCACGATTTTCTAAGTGCTTTTTATCCATCTAATTTCCTTCTTAACTGGATAGAATCCATTATTTGGGGGTGCATTTTGCAGCTAATTTGTCCTAGAAGGGCCATCAGCATGCACTTCTGTTCAAAAATCACTTTCTAAAGGGAATAAAAATTCAGATTCCTTCATAGTGGAGGTCAGTCAATTACTAACACATGTCTTTTAAATATTTTAGGCCAAATCATTTTTTTCTATATTATACTTTTGAACATTGGGATCATACCTGAGCACCTGTCCAATTGCTTCTACAGTTTCCAAGGCTCCCTGAGAGAAAATACTGGTAACTTCCTTTAAGTACCTCTCTGATCCATCTTCATGAGAAACTGAACAAGCACAACATAAATCGAGCTTTTATATTTTCACAACAGAACATCAACGCTGTTTGTCCCATATTTGGTATCTAAAACATATGGATCCCTCTTCAATCAACAACTGAGTATTGGCGCTTAAGGCACTCACTGTGGTAATTCAACTATGAATTGATTTAATCCAGTATTTACCAAAGGCTCACATGAGACATCTGATATTTGAGAGAAACTGCCTAATGGGCATACTAACTATTCATTCTTCTAGAACAAATTCTCTGTTAGTTCATCAGGATGCACCATAGCTAAAGTATATATATTGTCTTAAAATTTGATTTGGGAATAACTTCATATCTATAGATAAGTTATAAAAGTAAAAATAATA